GCTTGTGTGGGATTTGGGATCTTCGCAAGTGCGGGTTCGTGGGTGAGGCTGTTCATCCGCTCCGGGATGTTACGGCCGGGCTGTGAGGAAGGGGTGCCAGGGTGCGTGTGAAGTGGTGCAGAGGTGGACGAGCGTGTGCTCAGCGCTTCTGCAGAGAAACAGCGCAGCTGTCAGAGCTGTGTGCTTGGCCCAGCAGGACCTGGAGTGGGCGATGGCTTGCCGGGGAGCGCAGACACGCCTGGCAGCCGTGACCTGAGCCCCAGCCCTTCGGCACCACCGGCGCTCGCACACGCACTCGGTGCCTTCTGTCCCCTCTGCTTCCAGAGCTGGGAGTCAGACTCAGCTCCTCTCAGTGGCTGTTTCCAGCATCGGGGAGGGCTGAGTGCCGCACACACACAACCTGTTAGCAGGCACTGCTTTGAGCTCCCCTTTGCATGCTGCTCGCAGTTCCCTTCCATGGTGCACATATTACCCTGGTACCAAGTAATCCAGAGTGCCACTCAGTGCCCTTTCCTTTAGCTCAGGATGTTTGTTGTTTGCTTGGACCTCTATTTATATGTTTTTCTTTCTGAAGCAAACCCAAAATGAGTTTCAGTGAAACCAGCCCCTACATCCCATTGCAAATATTTATTCCACAAAAGCTTGAAAGAGTTGAAAGTACTAGAAGGTAATATCTCATGTTGTTTATTAAGAAATGCAAAGCCTTTAAAGACAGAAGTTCTATAAACTACCTGCATCACACAGCTATGTTGTAACTTCTTCAGTCTAATTAAATGCAGTTTCTCCGGGTCATTTGGTGCCTGCCAGGTGCTGAACTTGCTGCTTAGGACCTGTCTTCTGCAGGCTTTTAAAGTTCCAGTTTTGTATGACCTGAACACCTTTTTTCCTTTTGAAGGTTTTGGCACTAGTGGCTACAATCTCCTCTCTCAGCTGCATGCATCACTGGCTACTGTTTGAATTAATGTATTATACCACAAGTGGCCTTAGAAATGGCAGAAATAATAGCAAAACATTCCTGCTCTGTCCATTGGTCCTGACCAGTAAGAGTCAACTGTTTATGATTAATCTCTGCACTGTAGTCTGCATCTGGTGTTAGATTGATGCCATTACACTCAGTCCAGCAAGAATGTGAAAGTGCCTCTCTGGAACTGACAATTTAGTGTATTATTTTTTTGCTCTGTCTGTAAACCTTTAAAATACATTTCTCCTAGGGAAAACTGCCTGATGACATTGATGGTGGCAGAAACTCTCTAGTAATTCCCAAAACAGTATGCAAGGGCATTGGATGTCGCAGTGAGAGCAAGTAGTCTCTCCATCTCCTTCAAATATCTCCTTAGGACCTCTTGCTTCCTGTGGTGTTTGCTGAGAGTTTGCTCATTGTTATTTTGTGTGCTGTTTTGGTTTCAAACTGTGGCTCATCCTCAGATTGTGTCCTGCTCAATGTAGTGACATCTTGTTCAGCTGCTGTGCCTCACAGAAATAGATTTGATGGTAGCAAAGGGCTTTTCTGTTCTGATCATATCAGGTAGCAATTTAAAGCTTGTTTTTCTGAGCCTTTTTTTTGTCATTGTCTTTTACACACACAGGAATGGTCATGCTGGGGCAGGCAGAAATTCTTTGTGAGTCTGTTGTTTTCTCCCTGAGGAGGGCTGCCAGTGGGTGCTTAGGAAAAGAGTACAAGACCTGGGCAAATACAAATACAGGGAGATCCTTGTCCTGGAACACCCTCTCATCTGGCTGAGGTTAGGCAATGCAGGTTTTAAATACTTCCTATGCCTTTGTATCTAACCACCTTGAAGGATCTTTTCTTAAAGAGTGTCTACAGGTGGTTTTTGAACACCTTTCTGCTTTTGGTATCTGCTCCACCACTCCAGCAAGGCATTCTACAGCACACATAGACATGGTGCTTATGGAAAAGTATTTCTTGATTATTTTAAACTTCTTTCCAAAAAATGTGTCAAACTGAAAGTCAAGAAGTGGTGGGAAAGGTTTACTTAGCTTAAGTGATATTTGGGTTAGTTTAGATAAAGTTATTTAATCCCCTGCATGAATTAAAAAGAAAAAAATATGGAAATGGATAATTGAACTGGAAATGGCTGCATTCAGGGTTTATTTAGGAAAGAATGTCCACACATCCTATGTACTTAAATCTCAATTTTTCGAGACAGTCTTTTTGCCCTGAATTTGCATGACATCTTCTGCATTAAAGTCTTTATCCTGAACTCAGGCTCTAAGACACAATGACACTAAAGTGGTAATAGTGGGTTGTTTGAATGGTAAATAAAAAGAAAATTTAAAAATTATATGGTGGCTGGTGTGTAAAGCTGGTATTGGAGAAGAGCAAGGCAGGAAACCCTCAGTTTAACACCTTGATTGAAATTCCAGTATCCAGCTGTAAAGTCCAGGTTGCTTTCTTCTTTCTCAAACTCTGCCTCACATGGTTATGTAGTGAAAGAAGGACTAGAGCTTCTTTTTAAGCCACCATAATTTGTAAACTCTCCTCCCTTCTTGACTGTGTAGACTTGATACATCTGAAACTTTCGGGGGTTTCCATCACATTTAAATTCCCCTTGTGCAACAAATCAGGTGGATAATTTGTATTTCCTGTATGGCATCCCTTTGCAGGCTCTTTTCCTTCCTGGGATGTTTCTTTCCAAGAATGTTAAGAAGTTTTAGTTGTCTGCTGCTTCTTCATCCTTTTGCATTCACTGATGTGGATCAGGTTGCTGAAGTTTGCTTGCAGATGCCTTTCCTCTCTTCTTGGGTTGTAACTGCAGCTCTGGAAGTTAATCAGATTGGGATGCTGGAGTTGTTTCCCTTCTGTCCTTCCTCCTTACCTCTCATATTACCTCCTTACCTCTGCTGATACCAACTGTGACAGAGGGACAAAGGAAAGTTTTAGCGAGGTTTTTACAGTTGTGACACCACTATGCACTCCATCAGATCTCCCCTCGAAGCATTTGCTTTCTGGGGAGTGGAGAAGAGGCCCTGAACACATTTGTGTGGATATAACCAAAGACACCAAACAGAAGATAAAACAGCTTGAACTGATGTAAGAAATTAATGTGGCAGATACTGCTGTCAGAAAAATTTCCTCCCACTGGGTTTATGAAAGGCAAGTATAAAAGTGGCTGTTTAGTCTCTGGGGCCACACTGTCATGTGCAAGAAGCTCCTCCTTGGCAGTGGCAATTATTAGGGCCATAACTCAGCACTGCAGGGGATGCACATCCTTTTTTGATTTTTACTGCTGTGCTCTTAGAAGAGATCTAGCTGACCATTTCCCCCTGCTTTTAAATCCCTCTATACTTTTGCTTTCCTGTTGGAGCATATCTGTCTGTTGTGCATATCTTCACTAGCTCGTATTGGGGTGAAGGGGGACTGAATCAGTGTGACACAGAGATTTGGGGCAGCCTCAGCCCTAGGACAAAATCCCCTCAGAGCAGTGTGAGGGCTCTCAATGGCTTCATGGACAAGAGAGATGAAAAGGAGCTGGCGGAACAGTGTTTTGCATCAGAGCCATCTTTTGTAGCTGTTGCTGAGACCCAGGATGACCTAGAGCCTGATCCCTCACAGTTCTTGCCTTTTCTGCTTTACCATAAATATCTACACATTTAGGATAAACTGTGCCATGCAGATGCCAAGTTAGCTTCATTTGGATTACAGGGGTTATGATGTTATTATTTACAGTATGATGTCTAGAGAGGTGAGAGTTGACTCTGCACAGCCATCATGTGCTGTGGTGTGCCCTTAACGAGGGTCAGAGGAGCAGGTCAGGAGCACAGGGACAAACCATCTGCAGTTTGCAAAACCAGGTGCTCAGCATCTCTCAAAGTCAGACCATTTGTTTGCATCCTTTAATTAAAACACTCTTAGTTCACTTAAAGGCCGATTATGAAGCGAGAATGAAGATTGCTGCTTTGGAAAACAGATGATCATTTCTGCTTAATGAAATGTGTGTGTGGCTCACTGCTATCCATCTAAGGAGGGGAAAACGTGAAGATATTTGTTCCCGGTAAATAACATTTACACTCCATGTATTCATACCTGCTCTCATCACAGGGGCCAAGGCATGAAGCTCAAGGGGGCCCTCCAGCACATTTAGCTATGGGGCAGGGCATGGTGTGTTGCTCTTCTTGAAAGAAAACTGGAGAAGCTAAGGCTGCCTCTTGGAATAAAAAAAAAGGAAATGCCACACCTATTATGTCAGATGGTGGGAGAGGAGATGCCTAGCACCTGGGGACTGAAAAAGAAGACTGGAATTCTAAAAAGCCTGAATGTTGCCTCACAATGGACAGAGAAAGCAGAATGCAGTGAGAAATCACTCAGAAGAAAAGCACGGGTCTTATTGTCACCAGAAAAATTCATTTGAGTTTTCAGAATGTGGGAACTGGATTTGACACACAGCTGAGAGGGAGGACAAGGATGCTTATATCCTAATTTATTATGTCAGCAAGGAGTTTATTACCTCTTTCTTAGATTTAGTATCTTCCATTCCAGTTGTCGACTGGGACTTCAGTGGCTTTCTT